CGGCTCTAGAGGGCCTCCTTCTTCTCATTCTTTTAAAGGTGATCTGGTCCAAAACAACTCTCCCCTCAAAAAAGCCTGGGGCTATTTTAGGAATATTTTGTTTAGGCTATGGCGCCGCTCGAATTTTCACTGAAATTTTTCGAGAACCCGATGCACATATTAGCCTGTTCCTTAATGCCATTACCTGGGGGCAGATTCTTTCCTGCCCCTTAATCATTTTAGGAGGCTACCTTGTCTTTATGCGTCGCCGAACACATTAAGCCTTCTCCCCCCTTAAAGGACTTCCTGATCAAACAAATCCAACAGTTTGGCCCCTTGCGTTTAGATGCCTACATGCACTTGTGCTTACTACACCCTCAATGGGGGTATTATCAACACCCAACCCCTATTGGTACTAAAGGCGCCTTTACAACAGCTCCTGAGATTTCTCAAATGTTTGGAGAAATTCTCGGTGGCTGGGTCAGTGACCTTTGTCATCGAACCCATTCTTCTATTCCCACCTTAGACCTCATTGAACTTGGCCCCGGGCGGGGCACATTAATGGCAGATCTCTTAAAACAAAAAAGCGTTAAAATTAAAAAAGTTCATCTTGTTGAACAAAACATCAATCTTCGAAAGCAGCAAGAAAAAGTACTGACAAGTTCACAAAAAAATCTGGTATGGCATACACACCTGACAGACTGCCTTGATCAGCTTTCAAACCCTTTTATTCTAATCGCCAATGAATTCTTAGACGCACTTCCTATACGCCAATTTCAAAAAACCCCAAAAGGCTGGAAAGAACGTTTAATTACAACCACAGATGGTGAAACTCTCGCTCTTGCTCTTGAGGCTTCTTCTTCCCTCTGGCTCCAAGATCTGGGCCAAGAAGGGGGTGTTCTCGAAATATGTATACAAGCCGAACAACTTATCCATGACCTTTGCAATGCCCTTGAAAAAAATGGTGGAGCCGCTTTATTCATTGACTACGGCGCACAAGATTTAAGAAACAAACCAACCCTCCAAGCCCTTAAGAATCACCAACATATCCCTGTTCTTGAAAGCCCTGGCGAATCTGACTTAACTGCACATGTCAACTTTGGGCGTTTAAAAAAAGTTGCTCAAGAATTTTCAAGCCTTAAAATTTACCCTCTTATCACGCAGAGAGAGTTTCTCTTGTCTCTGGGGCTCCAACAAAGAGCCAATCAACTTTCTAAAGCTTCACCCTCTCATAAAGCGGCATTAGACGCAGCAGTACAGCGCTTGACACACTCAAATTCTATGGGAAATCTTTTCAAAGTATGGTGTCTCACTTCCCAAAACTTCCCAACGCCAGAACCTTTCTTAAGCCAAGGAGATCTTTTATGACAACAATCTTAAAGTCCCTTCTGCTTGAAAAGATTCCTGGTATTAAACACGGATTTTTAACACGACAAGGAGGATGTAGTCCGAAACCTTTTGACAGCTTAAATCTTGCTCTTTCAAAAGGGGATGATCCAAAAAACGTCCTGCACAATCAAAAAACAGCTCTTGGTATTCTAGAATTCCCCTCAGCAAACTTCTATGGCCTTAAACAACTCCATGGACCAATTGTTCACGAGATAGAACGTGTTGACAAAAAAGAAAAATTAGAAGGTGACGCCTTAATAACAGAGCGCCCCCAAACAGTGCTGAATATCGTTACGGCAGACTGCGTTCCTGTACTGATCACAAGCCTGGATGGAAAAATTATTGGTGCAGCACATGCAGGGTGGCGCGGTGCTTTATTTGGCATTATCAAAAACACAGTTCAAGCTTTAAAACGGAAAACAAATACTCCGCTTGTTGCTGCGATTGGTCCCTGCATTCACCAAAAATCTTATGAAGTATCTCCAGAGGTCTATGCCTCCTTCACACAGAATGCTCCAAACAACACACAATTCTTTATTCCATCCCTCAAAACATCTAATCATTATTTATTTAATTTACCCGACTTTGTGAAAACTCAGTTGGAATACTTTGGCATCAAAGAAATTGATCAAATCAATCATAACACCTACGAAAATCAAGACATGTTCTTTAGCTGTCGCCGTGCGTTTCACAGAAATGAAAGCACCTTCGGCTGCCAAGGATCTTTAATTGTGAAAACAAAAGAATGAACGCTAAGTTATTACAAGCTTTGTTCATATAATATTCCCGTTACGACAACCCTTTTAATGAGCGTACAGCATCTTCTATCTTTCGCATTTATAGGAACGATTTTTCTTATAGTGAACAACTTAAAGAACGCGTTTCAAGAGAACAAGCGGCAATCAGAGAGGAAGTTGAATAACGCCCCCCTATTAAAAACACTTACGTCCTAGGCAACAAAGTCATCTCGATAGAGTCTAACACAAAGGCGAGATAAGCTTCTTGCTGGTCCTTAGGCAATTTATGATAAAAAGAAGCCGGGCTTAAAAAGGTGCCTACAGGTGCTGTAAGAACATAAAGAAGAAGGAGGTCCGCAGGAACATCCTTGCGCACCACTCCTGTCTCTTGAAAGTCTTCCAACATTTTAATCCAGGGGTTCTCTTTAAAAGATCCCAAGGCATCTCTATCGCTTTCCAAAGCCTGCCAATGAATCATTTGAACAATATCTTTATTATGAGCATAGCCTAAAAAGCGCTCTCTCACCACATGGTTTAAAAACTCTTTCAGCGTGTCAAAACGCACATCCTTTTCTTTTATCCTCTTGGAAAAAGAATGAGCCAAGTCCTGTTTTACAGAAATCCATAAATGCTGTTTGTTTTCAAAATGGTGATAGATCAGACTCTTATTAATCTTTGCGACTTTAGCAATGTCAGAAATTGATGTTCCTGCAAATCCCTTCTTCACAAAACACTTCCGTGCTGTTTTTAAAATTAAATTTTTTGTTGAATCTTTTGACTGCAACGCACTGTTTTGACTCATAAAATACACTCTTTTAAAAACATAAATTGACCGAACGTTCAATTTTTTTCTTGACCAATTCCAAAATAGGTTATAACAAATGACATAGATTGAACGATCGGTCAACCTGAAAAGGATTCAAGACAATGGCAATAGAAAGATTAAATTTTAATAAGACTGTAGCACTTAACTTTAAAGCCGTTACTTCTAAAACGATCCAGCCCTTTTTAACAAGCAAAAAAATATCAGGCTTCTCTTCAAGCACGATTCAAAATGATTCTTTGAATAAGTGTTCTCCCACAAGAAATGGTCAAAATCTTAAAATGGTTGGTTCTTCCTTTAGAATAAGATCAAAGGAAGCAAAGAGTGCCCTTTTTCAAGAAAAAGAGACCGATTCTTACAAGGCACACCTTCCTTTAGTTTTGGGTGAAAGCAAAAGCGAAGGCTCTCCTTTCGTAAAAAATCCCTCCTTATCATTATCCCAAAAAGGATTTCGATTGCTGCGTCCGATTTCTCCTCTCTTTATAAGCCTGGCTCTCTTATTTTTTGCATCTCTTATCGCAGCAAATGCCTCAACAGTAGAAAATGCAAAAAAAACACACGCCCCACTTCTTTCTAAACTTAAAAATGTCCCGAATTTATTGCCTATAGCCATTGTTGGATCAGGCTCAGCAGGGCTTTCTGCAGCCCTTGCAGGCTCCCTTGATAAAAGACACGTCGTT